GATAAATAATTAAAATCAAGAAAGAATAATAAGATTAAACTATAAAAAATATACTTTTCTTTCTTAAACTATAAAAAAGGATTATTATTTTAAGACAAATTCAAAAAATATTTGTCTCCTAAAATTGATAAATAAAAATTGACATATAAAATAAAGCACTAAATCCTTAATTAGTACCTTTTGTGTTTGAATTTCAACTTAATTATGTACTTTATTATAAGTATAAAGTCATATACTTTTTTTTGTCTATGTTTTATTTTTTGATATTTATAATCAAAGTGTTTCCAAATCAACTTTTTGCACCTTGAGACTAATCTTTATCTAGACTATATCTAGACTATTTTAAGGACATACTTCTCATATCAAACTATTGCATTCAATAAAATTTATGTTTATATATTGTGTATGAATTATATTATATGTTTTGTAATAGGTTTAATTATATTTTAATTTGTATTAAAAAGTTATAATATTCAACAAATAGATAAGCACATCTGTGGATATACTTATACTCAACGAGTTGAATGGTAAAGACAAATTTTTAATACTTGAGTAAATACTAAATAGTCAAATTTTATATCTATTAATTTTCAAATTAAATACAAATATAGACAAATACTTCATTCATGTACTTGCTTAGCCCACCTATGTACATAAATAAAATAAAAAATTATGAACTCTCTTAAAACCCCCAAAACTTATAGTTAAAGGAATAGTAATAGGCATTAGGAATTTTTCTTTTTCTAGTTATAATCTTTTTGAACCTTAATAAAATTCAAAATTTTTAATCTATTTCCTTTAAAAAAAAAATAAATTTACTTAATTACCTACAATACTTTTGAAAAATGTCCTTGTGATTGACTTAATTAAAAAGTTAATAAAAAGAAATAAACAAACATAGCTAATAATTGAGAAAAAAAAGTTGGTACAATATTAATGTAAAAAGATAATAATATGGAATATAATGTGGCATTGGTGTATCCTATTACAGTCAAATTGGAAGAAAAGAATAATATAAAAATATATGTTAAACGTCAAACCGTTAAGCTTTACAGGTTAAAAGTGACGGAGGGATGAAATTGATTACTTTTTGAATAGTAGAGGGAGAACATGTGAGCTCAAAATGAAGTAGAGGGGTGACCTGCGGTGATTCCATAGTATGAGGGTAAAATTGACCATTTTCACAAAGTAGAGGGATGACAGTTGGCTTTAACCCAATTATAACCCCATGTCTGGCCCCATAAAAGTCTAATGTCTGGTCCTACTTTATTTCTGTTACGTTTAATTTAAGCCAAAATTTAAATTGTGATACAAAAGAAAGACTGCATCGGAGCCTGGATATAGAACGAAGATTGCATAGAGAAGATTAGATATAAAAAAATTGATAATAAAATTTTTAGGCGTGGATGAAGAAATATTCCTGCTGTTACAGTTACCGTGTCTAGGAGGCGGACCGAAGGGCAACCATTAGCCTCACGACAAAAATTAGTAATGCAATTAGATATCTGGCACATCATTTTTTTTTTTTAATAATTTATAATTATTTACAGGGTTAATTGAGGGTTTACAGGGTTAATTGGGGGAGGGAGTAAAAGGGTTCCGTGGGATTCGAACGTGCAACCTACAGAGATAAACAGTCCTAACCCAGAGTCCAATACCACTAGCACAGAGCGGCCGTTCATCCGGTACATCATTTAACATTATAAATATATGAGTTTTTTAATTTTGTGTTTTTATGATACAAGTAAAATGTATAATTGATATATTTTCTATAATTAATTTTTATTAAAAGTATAAATTTTAATTTTAATTTAATTAATTAATTAAAATAATCTAAATGTTAATCATGTTAACATAAACATTAATTTTTATATAAATTAATTATTAAAATTGTATTTATCATACCTTTAGTTTATATTTTTTTTGAACAAATTACAATTTTGGAGAGGGAGAATTTGGACCTTAGCCCTAAAACGGAGAA